TAAAGTATAAAGCATGACTAAGTGGGGATGTATTATGTAATATCGCTAGGCATGACTAAGTGGGGATGTATTATGTAATATCGCTAGGCATGACTAAGTGGGGATGTATTATGTAATATCACTAGGCAAAAAATATATATAAAACGGTATTTTCTCAGCTTGAAAGGTAACTGAAATACCTAGATTCAATATTATATAAAAATATCACACAGCGTTCTGTGTATTTTGTAGTATCTTTTTTGTGTCATGTTTTTGCTTCTCTTTCATTACGAGGGAATTTTGAATGAGGAGCCTTAAAATGAAGACTTTGGCTGAGTCTTGCCACTCTGAATACTGTCTTAAATTTTCTTTTCTATTCGAAGCCATGAAATCAGTCCGTCTGTATGCCCAAGTCCGAATGCTTGACTTATTATTACTTTCAAGTTCTTGAATCTCTACATAAGTTCTACAAATAACATGTAAACGCTGCTTTTAAAAATAGGTGGCTTGTTTTATTCTACTAGTTAAGTACTGCAAAAATAATTGTCTGTGTCATTTAAAGGAGGCCCGGCATGGCCAGGTGGTTAATGAAGCTCGACTCGCAATCTGTGGGTCGCGGGTTCGAATCCACGTCACACCAAACATGCTCGCCCGTTTAAGGCCGGGGGGGGGACGTTATAAAGTGTCAGTCAATCCAACTACTCGTTGGTAAAAGAGTAGCCCAAGAGTTGGCGGTGGGGGGTAATGATTAGCTGCCTTCTCTCTAGTCTTACACTGCTAAAGTAGGGACGCCTAGCGCAGACAGCCATCGTGCAGCTTTGCGCGAAATTCAAAAATCAAACAAACAAACCTAAAGGGTTTGATGGTAAATCAAAGGTTTTTGGAACGAAGCGTAAGGCTTAAAGTGGGCATGATGAAATAAATTAAATTTATTTTTTCTTGTTGTTTTGAAGAAATACCCATCATTGGTTGCAATAAAAAAACGAGGATTTTTTAGTTTTTTTTTCTAAATCTTTTTTCTTCTGTCTTTTTTTTTTTTTAGCATTACCTACAGGACCATCGAAGCTATATACTTTCGTCGTTAGCGAAAAGTGTACCACTGTTGGAGTCAGTTTTTGAGACTTTGGTGACAGAAGTTATTAAATTCGCCACGTATCTTCGAGGCTGTGACAGAAGTAGGTTGACAGTAGAGCCAGCGTTGTTCGAAAATGTATTTTATATACTTCAAACCCTAGAAGACATTTTGAAACATTTAGCGTCAGATCTGTCCGTTCAAGAACAAGTGTCAATAAAGCAAAATTTTTCGTGGAATAGCTGGCATAGACGTCTGGATCAGGCATCCCTATACATAACAGAAAAGTATCCTTTATTTTCAGTTGCAATTTGGAATGTCCAATGTCGGTTGGAGTGCATGATTGCTGAAAATACAATAAAATAAAATTATTGATTTCTAAGCAACCGTATTTCATCTTCGTCTAAAGGTGATTGAAAAATATTATTAATATTTGTGACCAAAGAGCTACATTATTCGTGTATATACGTTTAATGAGCTTTAGTTAATGAATCATGCACAGTGTCTTTTTATTGTGTTGGTAGTATTAATTGTAATGAATTAATTTAAATAAGAACAAAGATATGTGTTATTGATATCTTGAAGTGTCTCAGTTATTTGTATCAGATGTATTATCTAATATGACAACATCAAAACTATAATGCACTAAATGAAGGCAAAAGGTCGATCTAATTCATTTGATTTACATGAAACATTTGCGTAAATCAGCTTTAAAGTATTTGCTATTATCATACTACTACTACAGCGAAAATATTTTTTCAGCAACTTTGTGAAAGAAGAAAGTATATTATTTCAAAGAAACTTAAACTATCTTTAATGTTAGGTCTTGAAG